AAGTGTTTTGCAAACCTTAAGGCAGTATATAAATGCTAGTTATGATGATAATTTCTTGTTACTATTAAGTAAAGAAGCCGGCTTTTTTTGCATCTTGGTAAGCTAGCTCTGCAGGCCATTTCCAAAGCAGAGACCTAGAAACGTTGCCAGCAGTGGCAGCAACCTTGGAATAATTACGCAGTTTCCCAAAGGAAGCTCCAGGACTATCTAGTTGTTTGGTCATTGTCATGGGTGACTCTAAGTGACACCGTCAACCATAACACACCAATACGTCCATGAGTTTTTACTGGCAAAAGTACTGGAGTGGTTTGCCATTTCCTTCTTCAGTGGATTAAGGCAAACAGAGGTTAAGTGACTTGCCCAGGGTCACACAGCTAAGTGTCTGAGGCTAATTTGAACTCAGGTCTTCCTGACTCCAGGCCCAGAGCTCTATCCACTGAGCGGCCCAGCTGCCTCACTGGTGTTATAAACGACATCTCTTGAAAAAGGAGCCGAGGCTCGGCCCATGGGAAGTACCACGGGGATTCGGGTCCCATCCACTTGGCCGTCAGTACACTTGACTCTCAGGGGTTGCACTCCACGCCCAGGGCAGCCCCTGCCGGCTTAACACCTTCCAGAAAGCCTTTCTTCTTCCGGGTCGAAGGGGACAGGGCCTGAAGCAGGGAGGAGACCCAGAAGAAGCTGGGGGATTTGCGGGGACTGCAAGCTTCCAGTCTTCAAGGGCAAAGGGAAGATGCGGAGAAACCATAGGGAAGGGAGTCCGCGCTGCGGCTGGAGCGGCAGGGAGGGCGCTGGGAGGAGCCGGGAGTCCGGCCGCTCTAGCCGGGGTGGGCAGTGGACTGTCGGAAAGAGATGACCCGTGCTCCCCCTAGCGGGCTGCCCTGCAGAGTCAGGTGAGTCCTGCGGCAGGGAGAGTGTGGGCGCGCCGGCCTCAGCTTCGCCATCTGTGATACTGGGGAGCGAGCGGGCGTGGTGATCTCTAAGCTCCCCGACCCGAGGTCAAGGATGATGAAGATAATTATTGTTATATTAGCATTGTTAATGTTGTATGACATTGTTGGTGATATGATTAACTGTATCATTTATGAAAAGTGCTCAAGGTTTGCAGAGCACTTTACAAAGATCTCCTTTGATCCCCATAACCTTGGGGACTGGCCATCTTGTGACCGACGTGATAGTGATGGTTTAGGGAGCTGAAGAGAGAGTGAATGCTGAGCACTCTCTACAACGGGTGTAGACAACTAAGTTTGGCAGCCAATAGAAAGGAAGAAATGGGATGGTTGCTGGATGTGATAGAAAGGGTAAGGTTAGTCAAAGGATATGAACACGCAGTTTTTCAGTGAAAAAATAAAAACTATATAGTCATGAAAAAATACTCTAAATCATTATTGATTAGAGAAGTGGAAATTAAAACAACTTTGAGATATCTTAACACTTATCAGATTGGCTAAAATGAAAGAAGGGGAAAATAACAAATGTTGGAGGGGATGTGGAAAAATTGGGACATAGTCGCTGTTGGTGGAACTGAACTGATCCAACCATTTTGGAGAGCAATCTGAAATTATGCCCAAAGAGTTATAAAACTTTGTATACCTTTTGACCCAGCAACACCACTATTAGGTCTGTAATGTTCTAAAATATTTATAGCAGCTCTCCTTGTGGGGGCAAAGAACTGAAAATTGAGGGGATGCCCATCAATTGGGGAACGGCTAAACAAGTTGTGGCATATGTTTGTGATAGGATACTGTTGTGCTCTAAGAAATGATGAGCTGGGGTTTTTTTTAGAAAAATGTGGAAAGACTTGCATGTGAACTAATGAAAAGTGAAATGATCAGAACCAAAAGAACGTTGTACACAGTAACAGCAATATTGTTCTAAAAACAACTTTAAATGACTAAGTCATTTTGAATATTGTAAGTACTCAAATCAGCTACAAAGACCTATGAAGGAATCTTCACCTCCAGAGAAAGAACTGTTAAATAGACATATGTATAGTATGGTTTTAAACATACACACACATACATATATGTGTGTGTATATATATGTATGTACATATATATGCATACATATTTGTATTTAAGAATAGCCTTTTTTAGGGTGGAGTGGTGAGGGAAGGAGAAAAAATAAAAAGTATACAGCAGAGAACAAAAGAAGACTTAGAAGGAAGCATAGAAAAGCACAGTAGCTTTGAAAGTGGTGTGTAGTATTACATAGTTTTTCAAAAAAGCAAACAGTGTGAAATGGAAATTCATGGTTTTATATTGAATCTTGTTTTTATGTTGTGCTGTGCATATGGAAATGTTCTTTTTTTGTCTTTTTGTATTTAAGTTTGAAATGAATAAATACTTTTTTTTAAAAAAAAGGTAAGGGAAGGTTTGTTTTGTTTGTTGGCTTGTTTTCAGGCATGCAAGGCATTTATAGTCTGAGGCTAAGAAGCCAGTAGAGAATTAAGGAGGCACAAAAGCAGGAGATTTGATTCAATTCAGCACTTATTAATCACCTGTTGTAATCTCGAAGCTACTATGACCAAAAAAGTCCCGTTCTCTAGGAGCTTACATTCTACAAGGTAGTAAGGAGGAAACAAGAACCAAGAATACAGAGAACTTTGAAGGCTTTCAGTTAGAGTCAGGTTGAATGTTCCTTGCAGAGAAGATAACATGACCTGTTCAAGAATTCAACTAAGAGCAAATAAGTTCCTACTGTGTGGAATGCATTGGGGAAACAAAAACAAAAGCGAAATTGGCTCTGCTCTAAAGGATGGAGTGTCTGTTGGGGGCTATATCAGTCATACGACACACGAAGGAGTACATGTGAACACATGGCATAAACAAAATAGTTTTGAGAGGCAGTGCGCTCATAACCAAGGGGATTGGGAATGGTCTTGTGTAGGAAGTAGCACTTAAGCAATGCTTTATAGGAGGACAAAGGAAACACCTAGTTGGGTTGGGATGTAAAGTATGTGAAGGGGAATGATATGAAGTGAGATAGATTGGAACCAGATTGCAGAGGGGCTTTCCTGTAGTCTGTACTTTGCGATTGTATCTACCCTGTGGCCCTCACAGCTCTGGTCTTATGCACCATGCCCTTTTTGATCCCTAGGCCCTAGGCTGTGCCCAGGGACAGGAAGTGCTCTCAGAGGAGCAAAGACAGAGATGAAAGCTCTGGTTGCAACACTTGCTGTCAATGATTGGGCCATGGCCCATACCTCGGTGTCATGAAGACCTACTCTCCTTCCATCTACATCATCTCCAACAAGGTATGTGATTTGATTAGACATTTTGATTTTATTAATCCAGAATTTGATTTAATTCAGGAAACATTTATTTATTTAAGCAAGAGCTGTGTACAGAGCTCTGGGCTAGGTGCTGGACTGACCCTATAAAGAAGGGTAGAACATGGGTTCCTGCCTTTAATAGAACTAATGCTCCCACTAGATTATAAACCAAAGTTGATCATGATAATAAGTGAATAAGAGAAGTAGAAATTAAGTGCTCTGTGAGGTATGTGTGTGTTGCAGGGTGAGGGAGGGAGAAACCATCTTTAACAGAGCAAACTCAGAACCTTCCAAGATGAAAGGGACATCTAATCACCTATACCTGAAGAGTACTTGCCTCAATAACATCTCCAACGAGAGGTCCTCCAAGGTCCACTTGAATATTTCCAGTGAGATACCCCAGTTGAATATGTCTACTCCAAATGTGGTTCAATTAAGACAGGGCCCAATGGAATGATCACCTCTCTGATTCTGGGCATTATATCTCTTGATTGTAGCCTGAGGTTTCATTAGTGATTTTAGCTGCTATATCATTCTGTTGACTCATATTGAGCTTACTGTCTACTAAAGGTTCCTTATCCCCCTTACCTCTTTCACATTCAACCCTTTTGTGGTCAGTTTTTGAACCAAAGGGTAGAATTTTGCATTTATCCCCATTATGCTTCACTTTATTTATTTTAGTCTATCATCCTAGCCTTTCAGGATCTTACCAGATCCTGAATCTATTGTGTAGTGTGCCAACTGGCCCTCCTAGCTTTGTATCATATGAAATTTTGACAAACATGCCTTTTGTGCCTCTATTCTAGTCATTGATAAAATTATTGAAGTACATGTATATGGTCCAGAACAGGTCTTTGAGGTACTCTGCTATGGGCTGTCTTCCAAGTTGATGTTAATCTACTTAATTAAACAAATTTTTATTAAGCACTTACAGTGTGCTGAGTGCCATGCTGGAGATGCAAAAACAAAAATGAGACCACTTCTACCCTGAAAGAGCATACATTTTACTGGAAGGATACAACTTGTTAACAAGTATAATTCAGAGTAATTTGAGGAGGAAGAAACATGTTCAGGGAGAGTTTCAAGAAGGAGGAAATACCTAAATTGAGCCTTGAAAGAAGACAAAGATTTTTAGAGGTAGAGATGAGAAGAAAGCACATTCTAGCCTTGTAGAAAGGCCTGGGTAATATCCAGAGGCAGGAGATGGAATGTCAGTGTCAAGTTCAAGTGCAGCTTGACTGGACCATAGCCATTTGTTAAGGAGAATAGTATGACAAGACTGCAAAGGAAGTTGGAGCCCAGTTGTGGAGGGCCTAAAATTGCAGGCTGAGTAGTTTGATTACAGGATAAAATACAGTGAGGTTTTTTTTTTAATGGAAGATTGACATGAGTAGATGCATCTTAATAAAATTATTTTGACAGTTGTATAGAAGATGGATTGGGGACAGGAGAGACTCAAAAACCATTAATAATGACTCTGGGTCTGGTCATTCAACTTTTCCTAATTCACCCAACCATATTTTCATCCAGCTTACATCTCTCCATCTTGTCTTCTAGGATATTAAATGCTTTTTGTACATGCTTTACTGAAATCCAGATAAGCTTTATCTAGAATGCTTTCTTGATTCCTAAGTCTAATTACCTGTCAAAAAAAGGTAATGGGGTTCATTTTTCATGACCATTTTTGATGATGATCCTTTCTCTTGTCTTAACCCTTCTGCCCTCTAGGTTCTTGTCCATCCACTTGAGATGACTCCAGGAGATCAGGTGATGGTGAACAAGCTCCTACCAGCCAGGCCTCAGGTGAGCTCTCTTTCCTGAGATACCTTCATTGTTGAGGTCCCAGTGTGACCTTCTGTCCTTTTTCTTAGTCAGATGCTTTTCTGCCTAGAAACTTCCATTACTCCCAATGGCCATAAGCCCCAATTTCCTTCTCTAGGAGCCTGAGCTGAATCCTCGGTGACAGATTTCATATACTTCGTAGTCTGGAGTCAAGCACTGTGAGTCAACTGTACCTCTACCCCAGCAATTATACGATTTGGAAACATGGACTGTGTGGCTTTTTCAGAAAAGTTATATCATGTGTATATATATATATTTATTTATTTCCCTCTACCTCTAATCTCCTAGCTCTTTACTGAGAAAAGCCCTGAACTATTTATTGCAATAAGCTCCCTGCCTCAAGTCTCTGTCCTTCCAATCCATCTTCCACACAGCTGCCAGAGTGATCTTTCTTTCTTTCTTTTTTTTTTTTTTAGGCAATTGGGGTTAAGTGACTTACTTGCCCAGGGTCACACCGCTAGTAAGTGTCAAGTGTTTGATCTGAGGCCGGATTTGAACTCAGGTCCTCCTGACTTCACGGCTGGTGCTGTATCCACTGCGCCACCTAGCTGCTCCCAGAGTGATATTTCTAAAGCACAGATCTGAGCTTGCTATTATCAGGTTTAATAAAATCCCATGGCTCCCTGTTGCCATTAGAATTAGTCAGTCAGTCAGTAAACATTTAATTTAGTGCCTACTATTTGTCAGGCATGTGCTTAGCACTGGGGATACAAAGAAAGGAAAGAAAACATTTATTAAGTACCCACTATGTGCTAAACACTCACACTGTGCTAAGTACTTTACAAATATTATCTGGTTTGATTCTCACAACAACCCTGCTAAGTAGGTGCTATTGTAAGCTTATTTTATTGTTGAGGAAACTGAGGCAGACAGAAGTTAAGTGACTTGCCCACAGTCACACAGTTCATAAATATTTGAGGTTGTATTTGAATTCAGATCTTATCAATTCCAGGCCTGGCACTCTATCTACTCTGCCACCTAGGTGGTCCCAGCTCTCAAAAAACTCAAATGCTAATGAGATCAAATACAAACTCACTGTTTGGCATTTAAAGCCTTTTGTATACCTGCTTTCTCTTCCAGCCTTACTCATTACTCCCCTTGAGCACTCAACGGTCCAGCCAAATTATCTTCTTGCTACTCATAACACACATCATTCTAGCTCCTGTTTTTGCACAAATGGTTTTTCTTTCCAGAACATACTCCTTTGCTTTTGCTTCTTAGTGTCTCTATCTTCAGCTCAAACGCCACCTTCTACTTAATCCTTTCCTGATCCCCTGGCTACTAGTGCCTCTCTGTGCCCCCCCCCCCATTACTTTGCATATGTTTATATGTATATACATATATATTATACACACACACACACATATGCTTATATACACGTAACTCCTCCAAGACAGAGACTTTTTCATTTTTGTTTTTATATCTTAGTGCCTAGCATAGTTCCTGACACATAGCAGATGTTTAATAAATGCTGATTGTTTGAGACAAACATTTGTACCCATCAATATTCAACTCATATGCACGTAGATTTATACACATTTGCAATCACATATGCATTTATTTATACACGTATACACTTAGACACACACATTTGCACATTCTCCCTATTCTCTTCTGTATTGCCTTTTTATCTGGTACTTTTAGTCCTGTGAAGGGTAAGAATAAGGAAAACAGTGAGACTATGCCCAAGGCTGAAGGAGGAACATGTTATTTCAGGTATCTGTGATGTTTGAGGATGTAGCTATCTACCTCACCCAGGATGAATGGGGCCATCTAGGACCTGCTCAGAGGGGTCTCTACAAGGATGTGATGATGAGAATTATGAAAACCTCATCTCATTAGGTAAGGCTTCTCCTCCAGGAACTCAGATGTGGGTTTCTTGGAGTCTTTGAATAACTATAAGTTCTGATGGGCTCAGTTAGGTTTAGGCTTTAACAGGTTCAAGAATCTAAGATTGCTGATCTTGTTTGGGCTCAAAGTTAGAGCATTTCTATTCTATTTTCTCTCTCTCTCTCTCTCTCTCTCTCTTTTTTTTTTTGGTGAGGCAATTGGGGTTAAGTGACTTGCCCAGGGTCACACAGCTAGTAAGTGTCAAGTGTCTGAGGTCAGATTTGAACTCAGGTCCTCCTGACTCCAAGGCTGGAGCTCTATTCACTGTGCCACCTAGCTTCCCCCTCTATTCTCCTATCTCAACCCTTAGGCATGGTCTGTGTAGAATGAGAAATGAGCATTTTCTTTACATCTCTGCATTTGTACCTTCCCTCTCCTTCCAGCTTCCTATAGAATACCTGATTTTGCTACCCCAAACCTCTTGGATCTCATGAGGACATTCCCAGGGATGGAACTTACCCACCTTCCTGAGTTAATTTTTTCCCAGGCTCCAAATCACCAACTCTCAGATTGCCTTCTCCTCTTCTAGGAAGTATGAGTCTTCAAGATCTGTTCAAACCCAGCTTAGGCCTGCCTGTCATATCTTTTCTGGTTCTTTCTCTTGAAGATTATAGGACTGGGATTGAACCCAGGAAAGTTCTGTGAATCCACAGCAAATTAGACTTATTTCTTTTCTTACATGTAGGATTTCCAGGGTCCAAACCCAAAGTAATCTCTCAACTGGAAAAAGGGGAGGAGCCATGGATCCTGGACATGAAGAGAACTGAGAAAAGAGAGATCCTGAAAGGTGTCTACCCATGTGAGAGAATGAGAACCTTCCTTTCATGTAGTCATTAAGCATGTATTCATTGAGCATTTCCTTGATAATGTGTGTTGGGGTCAAGTTCAAAGGAAGTAGGAGAAACAGTTTCTACCCTGGAGATCTCACTGTATGATCTTTCAGGTTCCTATCTTTGAGCAAAGATTTGGAGATGTGATGTGTGAGGCCACGTTGTCCCTTTAGCATCAGATTCAAAGGTTAGGGTTGTCATCAAATATCCCAATTTCCATTAAGAACCCTATGATCTCTGTCACTGATAATTGTATAAATCTTTTTTTTTATTTGTTGATAGATTTTTTAATGCAAAAATTACTTCACATTTATTTGGGGTTTTAACAAAGTACTGTCTTCACAAAGGCCCTGTGAGGTAAGCAATGCAAGTATTATCCTCATTTTATAAATGAGGAAATTAAAGCTCTGAGAAGTAAAATGACATGTCCATAGTAAGATGGCTAGTAATTGAACCAGGGTTCAACCTAGGTCTCCTAACTTCATGTCTAGTAATTTTTCCACCATATTACACTGTCTTTCTCATACATGTGTGTTTGTGTGTGTTTGTGTGTATGTATATGTAAATGTGTATATATATGTGTATGTATATATGATAGATGTATACACACACACACACACACATTCTCGGAGTTAGAAGGGAGCTCAGAAGCCATCTATTTCATCCCATACTTGACCAAAAATCTCTCTTGCATTATGACCAACAAATGATCAATTAAGCCTTTGCTTTAAGACCACAAGTGAGGGGGATCAACTATCTCCCAAGGCAGCCATTTCCAGTTTGGGACAGCTGAAATAATTAGAAACTTTTTCTTGACCTCAAACCTATATTTTCTTCTTGGCAACTTCCAGTCATTACCACTAGTTCTGCCAGCAGAACTATCCCTGTTTCACACTTTGCACTTCAGATACTTCAAAACAGCTATCATTTGCTCCCCTAAGTCTTCTTTGTCCAAGGTGAGGATCCCCAGTTATTTCATGGTCTTCGTCTCTAACCGTTCTAACAATCCTTCTCTGGATGTTTATCCAGTACACTCTCTAAACCCTTCATTTTATCATTACCCTCCCCAAAATGTGGCATTTAGAATTTACCATGGTACTTCAAACATAGTCTGAAATATGGTGTCCATGTTTTTATTTTTTTGGTGTGTGTCATGATTTTTAAGCAATCTAATGATTTTTAAATTATCTCTCTTTGACTTATTTTCTGGGTCAGTTGTTTAATGATAGGAAATATCTTACATTTTCTCCTGTTTTTTTCAATCTAATAATTTTGTTCTTGTATTTCTTATTGTCTCATGGAATAACTGATTTCTGTTTGTCCATTCTTATTTTTCATTGTGCTTGCTATTTAGGTAGTGTTTAGCATTTCCTGGATTGAGCTATTTAGTGTCCTATCCATTCTTTCCTCTAGAGTTCTCATTTCATTTGTAATATCCCTTTTTAATCTCTTGCTCCATTTCTTCCAGGAACTCTTATAGACCTTATGACTAAGCTTAAGATACAGACATACATACATACATATGTATGTATATATTTTTCTATATGTGTATATGTATATGTATGTGTGTATATATGTGTGTGTGTATATACACACAGAAATATATATATGTATACACACACACACACATACATGGTTCTATTTGTAGTTGTTGAGTAGTTATTTTCTTTTTCTGGGTTTGTGTCTTTGTGCCTTGCAGTCCAAAGAAAATTTTTTTCTTTTTGATTGTCATATTCCTGTCCTAGATGTCTCCCTGAATTGAGAAGTGATATGAATTTTGCTTTTTTTTTCTTGTTTAGATGATGAGACAAGATCAAGAAACAATGAACTTCCTCCAAATCAAGGAATTTATGAGAAAGTAGAATCTCAGTACATGATCTTAGAAATACTCAGAGGGAATATTCCTTAGTTCCTCAAGTTCAGAGAAGTATATAAATATGAGTGCAGGATAGAGCAACACCAAAGAGAAACTGTTGAAGAGAAACAGAGGAAATCCTGTTCTTTGGTGAGAAATTTTAGGCCTGTGACAATAATTCAGAATGAAAACTCATTAGAGCAGAGAACACAAGTAAATACCAAATTTGGGAGAAGCTTAAATTTGTGCTCAAATCCTAATGGACATCGGAGAGTTCCTGCAGAATAAATACCTTATAAATGTGATACATGTGGCCAAGGCTTCAAACAGAATTCAGGTCTAATTAAACATCGAAGAATCCATACAGGGAAGAAACTTTGTAAAGCTAATGTATTTAGGAAAATGTTCAGGCAGAATTCAGTCCTTCCTGGAAAACAGAAAACTTATAATGATGAGAAGTCTTCTGAATATAATGAATTTGAGAAAACCCTTAGTCAAAGATCAACATTTACAAAACATGAAAAACCAGTTGCTAGAAACAAACCCTATGAATGTAATGAATGTGGCAAAGCTTTTAGCCAGAGTGCACACCTTATCCAACATCAAAGAATTCACACTGGAGAGAAACCTTATGAATGCAAAGAATGTGAGAAAACTTTCAGTCAGAGATCAACCCTCATTAAGCATGAGAGAACACATAATGGAGAGAAACCCTATGAATGTAATGAATGTGGGAAAAACTTCTGTCAAAACTCTCATCTTATTTATCATCAAAGAATTCACACTAGAGAGAAACCCTATCAGTGTAATGAATGTGGGAAAGCATTTAGTGCTTGTTCTTCCCTTATTCAACATCATAGAGTTCATACTGGACAGAAACCCTATGACTGCAATGACTGTGGGAAAACCTTTAGTCAAAGCTCTAACCTCATTCAACATCAGAAAACACATAAAGGAGAGAAACGTCAAGAGAAATGTTATGAATGTATTGTATGTGAGAAAGTTTTTAGCACACACTCGTCTTTTATTCATCATCAAAAAATTCATACTGGAAAGAAACCATATGAGTGTGGCCAATGTGGGAAAGCTTTCCGTCAAAGAACTCACCTTATCACACATCAGAGAATTCATACTGGAGAGAAACCCTATAGCTGTAATGAATGTGGAAAAGCTTTCAGTCAGAGCTCTCAACTTATTCAACATCAGATAATTCATACAAGAGATAAACCTTATGTGTGTAATGAATGTGGAAAAACCTTCAGTGCTCATTCTTACCTTATTAGACATCAAAGAATTCATACTGGAGTGAAACCTTATGAGTGTATTGAATGTGGGAAAACTTTTAGCCAGAGAATAACTCTTATTGTTCATGAGAGAATTCACACCAGAGAGAAACCTTATGAATGTGACACATGTGGAAAATCCTTCAGTGCTCCATCATCTTTTATTCCACATTGCAGAATTCACACTGGAGATAAACCTTATGAATGTAGTGAATGTGGCAAAACCTTCCGACAAAGCTCTCAACTTATTACACACAAGAGAATTCACACTGGAGATAAACCTTATGAGTGTGATGAATGTGGAAAATCTTTCAGTGCATGGTCATATCTTATTCAGCATCAGAGAATTCATACTACAGGGAAATCCCATCAATGTAAGGAATGTGGGAAAGCCTTCAGTACACACTCCTATCTTATTTTACATTATAAAATTCATACTATAGGGAAGCCCTATGAGTGTGATGAATGTGGTAAAGCCTTCAATACACGTTCAGATCTGATTCCACATCAAAGAATTCATACTGGAGAGAAGCCTTGTACATGTAATGAATGTGGGAAAGTATTCAGTCAGCACTCTAACCTTGCTAAGCACCAGAGAATTCACACAGGAGAGAAACCTTATGGGTGTAATGAGTGTGGGACAGCCTTTGACCAGCTCTCTAGCTTTATTCAGCATCAGAGAATTCAAACTGCAGAGAAATCATATATGTGTAGCGATTGTGGGAAAGCTTTCAGCCAGAGTTCCAACTTGCTTAAACATCAAAGAATTCATGCTGTGGAGAAATTCTGCAACCAAGCAGTCATTTCATGATTTTGTTTTTTAAATTCAGTCCTCAAGTTGGTGTGTTTGCTTTTCAAATGTCTTCCCTTACAATTTATTTACAGTAGATTGCCAGCATTTGGTTGTTGGGTGTCTTGTCATGTTGATAAAGATCTCCTCGAGATGATTCAGAGGTCTCTCACCAACCTTCATTCATATCTACACACACATGTATGTATGTGTATCTATATATAGTGTGCATATACACTCACATATGTAAACCTTCTTTGCTACAACAGCAAAATCACATTTTAAAATGTGACCCTCTAGAGCAAACTTAACAAACACTAAAATATAATTTGGTATCTTCATCCTTTCTCAACTCTAAATTACCAGGAAAGGCAAAATTATCAATAATAACCACTTAGTGAGTGCTTACTATGTACAAAACAGTAGAAATAAAAGGTAGAATCTTTGCCATTAAGCACCTACATGGAGACATGACATACACATGAGAAAGTTGTGTAAGAAAGATACAGATTATTTCCCCTCTTAAGTGCTGAAACAGGATATTTAAAATGACAACAGCCATCATGTAATTTTTGGATCAAAAGCTTCAGACTCTACATTTCACTTGGCATCAGAACTTTCTCAGGTATGAGCTATAATGCTTTGGTCTTTCCTTCATTTAACAACTAGAGGAAGAACTGCACATAGTTAGCACTAAATAAATGTTTAACTGAATTGAATCAGACAACTGTATAGAAGGAAGAGAAAAGGAGATAGTGTTCTCCCCGCTCCTCTCCAAGAGGAGAGTTATCTCCCATTCTAAAAAAGAAGTAATAGAAAGGTATGTAGCTGTGAGTTCTAGGGTTGAAAAAATACAAAAACCATGGGCTTTTAGTTGTCTCAACAGAAGATATTTTAAGTTATCTTTCTTTTTAAAACATCACCTCTTACCTCCTTGATAGATGGAAGTAACTTAATATATAGACAATGCAAAAGTCGCGTCAACTTCATCTCAAAGAACTCTCAATTCCCACCCATTACTGGCTTACCTTGTCAGCTGAAAATTTGGGGGGATTGGATATATTGAGTTCATATTGTCTTTAGCCGTTTAAAAAGATTGCATTATTCAGAAGTGGAATTTGGCTCTTGGAACATGGAGGACCCGGAAGCAGGGCCCCTAACTGCCTGTCCCTTTTTGTAGAGTAAGAACTATCCCAGGAGTAGGTTTCTTTAATTTGATACAATGAAATGGATGTTTCATAGAAAATTAGTACAAGGTTGCAAAATGCCTGAGAACAGAGACGCTACAGAAGGGATAAGATTTTGCAAGCCCAGAGTGCCTTTTAGTAAATAATGTTATGATACAAACAGTAATTCTCCCTTTAAGGCAGGGGTTCTTAACCTTTTGGACCCTTTTGGTAGTCTAATGAAACCTACAGATCCCTTCTCAGAATAACATTTTAAAGGGCGCAGCTAGGTGGTGCAGTGGATAGAGCACTGGCCCGGGATTCAGGAGGACCTGAGTTCAAATCTGGCCTCAGACACATAACATGCACTAGCTGTGTGACTCTGGGCAAGTCATTTAACCCCATTGCCTAGCCAAAATAAATAACATTTTAAATGCATAAAACATAGGGTTACAAAGAAAACCAATTATATTGAAGTGTAGTTATCAAAATTATTAACAAGTTCCTAGGTTAAGAACCCCACATTTAGTGGGATACGTAATTTTTTTTTTTTTGTGAGGCAATCAGGGTTAAGTGACTTGCCCAGGGTCACATAGCTAGTATGTGTCTGAGGCCAGATTTGAACTCAGGTCCTCCTGACTCCAAGGCTGGAGCTCTTTATCTATTGCACTTCCTAGCTGCCCCTAGGCAGCTAGTTCTTGTCAGACTTGTGGATGCCCATTTCTTTGGTAAATTGTTTTCTTTGTCACTTGTTACCTCCATTGACCCTGGGTCTGGCACGTCAACCTTGTCGTACTTGTTTTAGGCATTGAGGTTTTAAGACAGCCCTACCCTTACCTTATCCCTACCTCCTTTGCCCAGGATGAGACAGTTGCAAGTTCTTTTATTAGTGGATTCCTGCATTCATTATCCCAGGTTCACGCTGACCACATAAGTCAAGGTCAAGAGCTATAAACAGCTTAGATACCTTTACTAAACCGAAATATCCAAAGTCATCTCACAGGACAGCCTTCTTACTTTCCCATGGAAATGTGTAAGGATTCATCTTGTTTGTTGGTTTGTTTCTCTTTGGACTTTCCCCCCATACAGTTGTTTCTTTTTTAACTAACTTCATAAAAGGAGCAGCTAGGTGCCCCAGTGGAGAGAACACTGGGGCTAGAGTCAGGAAGACCTGACACTTACTAACTGTGTGACCCTGATCAAGTCACTTAAGCCTGTTTTCCTTATTTTCTAATCTATAAAATGATCTGGAGAAGGAAATGGCAAACCACTCCAGTATTTTTGTGAAGAAAACCTCAAATGGGGTCACGAAGAGTAAGACATGACTGAAATGACTCAACTTTGCAAAACATCCTATATCTCTGTTGGTCCTTTCCTTAGAGTTCTTGTGACTATTAATTGGTATGATTACCTAGCATGTTCCAGGCTGTCTGCTTTGTCCTATTGGCTTTCTTACCTATGAGCAAATTAGTTGTTTTCACAAAGGACTATAGAAGAGTTGTATTGAAGAGCTAAGTCTTACTGAGTAATAATAAGAATAAATAGCATGTATACAGCACTTTAAAGTTTACAGAACAGTTTATACATATCTCATTTTATCTTCACAACACCTATATAAGATAGGGACTGTTATCCCCATTTTACAGATTATAAAACTAAAACTGAGGCTAAGTGACTTGTTGAGGGTTACATGACTAATAAGTGTCTGAGGCAGAATTCCAGCTTAGGTCTCCTTGACTCCTGATTGAGCATTCTATTTACTGTGCCACCTAGATGCTTCCTAATCAAGACAAAATAATAAATTCAGATTTTAAGGGGGAAAGTTAAGCAATATTTGTGTAACACTATCCAGTATTCTATCCACTATACCACAACTGCCTCCCAGGAGATACTGAATTGTTTCCTGTTAGGTCCTATAAAAAGCTAAGTTTACATGTTGCTGGGACCAGGCTCTTTTAATCTTTTTCAAAATTCTGGGTAGAGTATGTCCCAATATTTCTGGTTTGGGGTTATATCTTCATGCTGATATTTCCCTTTCTTCTATCGGACTTTGTTCTGTTTTACAAATTTGTTAACCCATAAACTGGAAGACTTGCTATCCCCTTGCCAATACCAGGCTACCTGATATGTATGGCTTAATTTGTCAGAAATGAAGTTTGTGTGAGGAATAGGATGATTAGATTATAGAGTATGTTAAGAAAAGTAACATATGGTAACCCTGGAAAAGCAGTCTGGAGCCAAACTTTGAAAGGTTTTAAATGCTAAACAAGGGAGTTTGTATTTGCTGCTAAAGGTAATAGGAAACCACTGGAGTTTACTGAGCAAGAGAGTAATATAATTAGACCTGTGCTGTAGTAATATCACTATGGCACTGTGTGGAGGATGAATTGGAAAGAGTAGAGAGGCTATTAAAATAGTTTAGGTGAACTAGGGTGGGGAGAAGTGGATGGGTACAAGTGATATATAGGTAGAAATGATGGGTAAGAAAATGAGTTCAGTTTTAAACATGCTGAATTTAAAAGATGGCTTTCGGATATTCAGTTCAAGATGTTCAATAGACAGTTGGATATGTGAAAATGAAGGTCAAGAGAGAGATTAAGGCTGAACACAGATCTGAGAGTCATCTGCATAGAGATGATGCATGGGTATTGATGAAATAGCCAAGTGAAATAGAGGGAAAAGAGAACCTAGGATGGAGCCTTGGGACACACTCTTGGTTAGTAGGCATGATATAAATGAAGATTCAGCAAAGGAGACTGGGAAAAAAAATGGTCAGACAGACACGAAGGGAACCAAGAGTAAGTAGTGTCACAATATCCAGGAAAAGAGGGAGATTAACAATGCCAAAGGCTACAAAGAGGTCAAGAAATATGAGGATTGGGGGAACATGGCAATTAAAAGATCATTAGCAACTTTGGAGACTGCATTTTCAGTTGAATGATGAGGTCGAGAACTAGACCACAGACTTAAGAGAATGAGAAGAAAAGAAGCAAAGGCAATGATTGTAGTCTTCTCAAGGAGTTTAGCTAGAAAAGGAAGAGATAGTAAGGATGACTGGATCAAGTGAGGATTATAGGCAGTAGGGAAGCAGCCAGTAGACAGGAAAGGATTGAAGATAAGTTAGAGAATAGGGATGATAGAGGAAGCCATCTGCTGGAGAGGATGGGATATACTTGTACTTGTGATGGGGTTGCCATGGGCCACTGCTTTATGTGAGACTGGAGTGAAGGCAGAGAATGTGATGGAAGGAATCTTTGTGATATTAGATGAAGAGGAATAGTGAAGAGGGTGCTCTTGGTGGATGGCCTCAACTTTTTTCCCCACAAAATGTGAGGCAGGGTTTTCACCTGAAAGGGTGGGGAGCAGAAGAGCCATGGAAGGTTTGAGGAGGGATGAAAAGATTTAGAAAACCCACTGTGGTGAGTGGGATAATGTGTCAATTAGGGATATGTCAAAGGATTGTCTAGCAGAATTGAGGGCCTAGTTGAGATTTGTAGTGTACCCAGTCAGCACGGTTTTGTGATTTCCTCCATCTTTATTCTAGCAGCAAGTAAGTAGGAGCAAAAGCAGTGGATGGTGAGAGTAAGCCAAGGCTAAGGCTTGCCAGTGCAAGATTTGTGATAGGATAAGCAGACCAAGGACTTGAAAGAAGAGGGTGCTATAGTTGAACTGGTTCACTAAGGAGTCATGATGGGGAAGGGGGAAGGGTTTAGTCAGTGTAGTACTAATCTCCTGAGAAAGAACTGAGGAATGGAGAGGTTGGAGGCCAAAGTGAGGATGGAGAATAGGTTTGGGGGTTACAAGGCAGAGGGAATGGTATCATGACAACAGATTGTGATCAGATAAAGGAATTTCAGAGTCCCTGAACATGGAAGTGGTGCATTTGTAGAGCATGATAAGTTCAAAGGTATTACCATCTCTGTAACTGTTGTGAGGTGGAGGAACTGGGAAATTAGGATGTCTGAGGGAGTACCAGTGTGTATGTTGAAGTCCACTAGTTGAAGGGTGTGACCCAGG